CAGGGCTTGCCAAGGCTGCCAAGGAAGAGCCTGTTCCCCAGGGGATGCCCGCCTGTTCCCCATTCTTGCACTTCACCTGGAGCTCTTCAGTACCTGCTTGTGTCAAATCCTGGCTTTTTCCCCCCACAGATTTATTATTTTTATTTATACATACAGGAACTGGGGTGTAGGCCAGAGGTACAGGGGCTGAAGGAGACAGAGTGGGGAGCAAAACAAACAGACTGACTGAAATAAACTGCTGAAGGAAGCAGCAGGGAGACAGGAGAGGTCTGCTGCACCATGTGGGTCAGCTCCTGGCCAGGAATCAAACTCATGCTGCAGTGGCTGCTGATAGCTTCATAACTAACTCCTGCACCACCAGGGAGGCCTGAAGTCCTGGCTTTTATAATATCAGAGGAAGCCAGAGTTTTTCTATAATGGTATGGACGACCCCAAGAAGATTATACATTCCAAAGTACAGAGGAAAAAAGCAGGAAGCCTGGGCTAGCTCTTCCCAAATGCACATAAATTCTAAATTGAGAGGGTCGTCATGACTCTCCAGGGTTTCACTGAGATGGTAGACTGTGATTTCAGCAGTGCTTTGGCACATACAGACACAGCAGTGATATGGACCCATAGGACTGCTTTTCAGAAAGATTGGCAAGAGGCTGTGTGGAAATGCCAGGCTTCAGGTGGAAACCTCCATGGAGTCTTTTAAAATGTGGGATTGGATGAAAACAAAACAAGACAAAGCTAACATCTAAAACTACAGGAGCATGGTAGAGGGAGAAGTTATCTGCAAATATCATAACATGGCTTCAATGATGACATTTTTGGTAAAATTTTTAAGAGCAGGGGTGGAGAGCATTCACAAATATAAGAGCAACAATCCTTACTCCTCTTTAAGGATACTCTAAATGGCTTGTGTGTTAAAACTGAGAATTCGAGGCACCTGTCTTAAAGCATGATCGAAGCCAGTTTTGCAACATCTAATGCATTTTGAGTAAAAGTTGAACAACAAGAATTAGGAAAAACGCTAGGTAGATACCAAAACAATCCTCCCCAAACACCAATTATTTTTATGCAGCATCATTCTGGCCCTGAGTCAGTATGAATAAATTAATAATCTCTCAAAAGTTGACGAATAGGTATTGTGACAGCCTCCGAGTCTGTGTCCATGTACAAGGTAGCTGGCCTCTGTTTTATATTATTGCCCAAAAATATTCCAGATTCCTGGAAAAAGTGCTGTGAATCACTGTCTATAAATATGGAATTGCCCTTTAACAACAATGGTGATTTAATAGATGATTCCAGAGTTGACACCTATTTTCTCACTCTAATGGTTTATTTAACTGATGGCTCTGAGCCCCAGGCCAGTGGGCAACACGATCTCAAGGTGCGGGCTGGGGATGATAATGAACCAGGCACACGCGTGTGCATGCGAACACACACACACACACACACACACACAGGAATCTCCTTTATTGTTCCGATTCCCTCCTTATATATCCCCGCCTCCGTACTTTTTCACTCCCCTTGTTTGTACACCCCCTGAGCATTTAGTCCTGCCAGCATAAACATACCCCCGTGCAAGAGACCCTTGTTCTTTAAAAGCCCACAATGTTTCTTTCTAGTCCTTCAGTAACCTCGCCTCCACATCTCTCCACAATGGCTGCTGGACAGGATTCATTATTAGGAAGCATTAGTAAATCAGACTGCTAGCTAGATTCTTACTGGAGGCTGACTAGATTCTAACGGGAAGCTGTCCTCACAACAGATGCACCACAGTGATAAATCTTGAGTCTGTGTATTCCTTTGTCCTAAAGCCTCTTGGTTATTTAAAAAACAAAATTCCCAGAGATTCTCATGAAGACATCAGCACTAAGAGATTTGAGAACAAAAGTATCAAAGGCAACCCCTGGCTACCTGGTCACTGACCAATTTCAAAATAATGAAGAACTTTAGTAAAAGTTTGCTCTTTTCCCCCTAGAAAATAGTGTATTTCAAAGTGCATGTATGTTGGATCCAAAAATAAGAAAACTTTCATTTTACATTGATTTTGTTTCCTTTCAAAGTATGTAAAATGCTAAGCAGGGGCATCTTATTCTACATTTCAAGTATGTGTCCATGGGTGTTCAAAACAACTTCTGTTGTACAGAACAGATAGAGCCTCAGCATAATTAAAATCTGTCTCTCCAGTCATCTTGTTCACACTGCTACATTGCCCATCATTTTCTATTCCAGTTTTGACTCATCGGCTGCATAAGCCTTGAATAAACACTTTAGCAGCGGATTAGAACTATCTTGTTCTGAATTCTGAAATGACTCAGCCAACGCTGGGTGTAGGCATACAAGCACAGCACACTGTCTCTGTAAGGTCAAAACCTTTACCAGCAGGACTTAATGTGTGGACTGAAGAGTAAGGAAGGTTTGTCCCTTTATCCTATCACTTCCCTCTGGGGGACCCTCAGAGCTCAAGATGAAGAATCTGCACAGAACAGGAAACACTCAGCCCAGAAATATAGTCAAGGCATTGAACATGAAGTAACCAGACCTGCTGATTACTTCAGATGTTCTCGCCATCTGGAAAAATAACACCCAAGGGCCGTGCAGTTACCTAGCACATTTCTCAGTATGCTACACAGGCCTGAGAGGCACCAGGTAGGCAGTGTCTGTGCCAAGGAGGGTGTTATGATTGGCAAGCCGCCGTGGAACTCTAAAACTGCAAGCGTTATGGCCATGCTGGCTGTTATCCCCAAACCACATTTCAAGGAATCACAAAACTTTAGAATTAGAGGGAGTTGAATTGAAATTTTCATTGACCGTGAACCCAAAATATTAGGCGCGAACACAGGAGTTTTGCAGGTACCTGGGTTTCTAATCCTGCACCCATCCATCACAGATTCCTTCCTTCATGGGACTGGTTGGGACTGTGGGAAGAGCGTTCATGTGACAAGCTGTGAGCCCAGCTCAGGAAGGGGGCAAAGCTGACAAAGGACATTCCCAGAGAGCCCAGATGTCTTGGGGTCAAGGGGGGCAGCCAGCCCAGCCCCATCAGACTCCCGAGCAGCACAATGTTGTGACTACGGAGGCAGACTCGACCCCCTCCCCCAGCTTGTGAAAGTAACAACATCCAATTATTCCCAAGGGGTGGTGAAGCAAAGAGCTTTTCGGGTTCTGGGACACTCTGGAAGGGTTTCCCAAATGTGTGGGGTTTGGCCTTATGGTATATGCTTTGCCCCAGGGCGTTTTTCCTTTAATTTTTAGGCCCAAGTGTATTTTAAGGTAAATTGATCCCACATGCTTCTGGTTCATTTACACTGAACTCATCAGACCCTGTTTGGAAAGAGCAAGCTGAGCTCCAAGAAGCCCTTTGAGCCTACTTTTACGAGCCTCTCTGAGCATTTTTTTTTTTTTTTTAAGAAGCAGAAAGCCACATTTTGACAAGGACACGTAAAATGCAAAGCCCAGAGACTGGGGTCTGCTTCCAAATGTGGCACCTCTGAAACCAGTGGGGCCCAAGTCACCAAGACAAAGCTTCCCTGCCTTCGTTTTCAGAAGTAAAAGGAAGCCTTACCTTCCACTGTGGTGAGCCAGGGTTGGTAACTCAGGGACTCTGACAGAGCTCACTCCCTCAAGCTGCCAGAGGCCTGAGGCCACACCCACCCCAGATAGGGACGCCCCCACACCTGGAGCCCACAGGAGCCGCCCACTGGCCGTCTCCAGGGCACTATCCCTTCGTTTCCAAGCTGTGGAGCAGGGCGTGCAGAGCAGAGGGCCATTGCTGTTCATATTGACATCACTTGACCCCCTAGAAGGGGCACGGTGTGACTCATTTTCGAGAAATCATAGCCTCGGTCAACAGGAGAAATTGGTGAGGGGTGTGAGTGTGAGAAACATTCTCTAGATGATGGCGCGGGACATGCTACCTCCCGCACTGAGACAGCAGTTATTAAGCGTCAACAGAACCCCAACTCACCCTGGAATCCGGGGCACAGTTCTTGGCCCATTTGGCCTTTCGTGAGTATTTCCCCCAGCAGGTATGGTGGAAGCATGCAGGGATGCACCCTGAAGACTCCATTCAGGCTGAGGGAAGGTGCCTCCCTCTTCTGAAGCCGGAGGCTGACTCTGGGGGCGATACAGGCAGAAGCCCCCACCGCCTCTCTAGTCTGTGACTTGTGTCTTTGCTCCTGTCCAGGGCCCTAAGACTTGAAGGAAATCTGCATCAGGAAAAGGATAACGAATCTTTGACTGAAAAGATGCCAGGGCGAGGTGGTCATGCTGGGCAACCCCTCTTTACAGGGTTTGTAACGCTGTCCTCTCAACTTCAGCTATCTATCCGTTTCAAAAATCCCAAAGTCTTGGACCCTCCCTGAGGGCACAGCGGGTTAAAGTGCAGCATTGCAAGTGAGCCACAGCCACTTCAGTGCAAGTTCAATCCCCAGCCCTAGAGGTGACCCACATGGCGCAGCAGACCTCTTCTGACCCGCCTGCTGCTCCCCTCAGCAGTGCACTTTGTCATCTTCCTGTTCTGCCTCTGGTGAAGCCTGTCACTGCCCCTGTACCTCTGGCCTATACCCCAGTTCTGTATGAATAAATAAATAAATTTAAAAAAAAAACAACAAAACTCAAGGCCTGTACTCTACTTCAGACCAATGAAAACAGTGTCCAAAAGGCCCAGGGAATAATTTTTCCTTAGATATGTGCTAACAAGGCTTCTCCCTTGTCAGAATAACTTGCACCATTCTTGAGCTGGACAAGTGCTGGAGTCATCCACGTGAGAGGGACTGTTGGTTGTGTTCCAATAGAATGAAATCAGATTCAGGGTATATGCTTCCCTCTGACTTCTCCACCCCCCATTCGCTGTCCCCTTACCCCCGTCATTTGCCCAAGTTATAAATGATGGTTGGGTTCCCGGAGCGTCTTCCAGGCCGGTGCACAATAACCATGTTGAAAGAGAGGAAGAACCAGCCCGAAATGCTGAATAGTGGTGTCAAAATGAACCAAACACAAAATCTCTTCAAATATTTAATCAGTTTGGAGACCTCTGCCTTCCAACCCAGTGGGGTAAAATTGCTAAAGAAAGCATGATTAAGGGGTCCTCAAAGAAAACCTTGGCTAACATGAAGAGGAAACTGGGTTGACAGTTGGGAGGGCAGAACTTAGCATGTGTCTTAAGACCTTTGGTAGGTATTATGAAAAAAATACTCAAAATGAACAAGAAAGGATTAACGTTATACAAACTTAAGGACATCTAAAATTCCTTTTATGACTGCAAACTCCAGATGTGATTTTGAAATAGACTCTTTAAAAATCCTTAGATCCTGCTGTGGTTTCTTCCCATAACCTTCTCAGTACATACAAGAAGCAAACTAGCTACCCCCAGCATCCCCATGACTCGTTGGGTCTTTGCAAAGCAGCAATCAGCGAGAGAGAGAGGGAGAGAGGGAGAAAGAGAAAGGCGTGGAAGGGGGAGAGGAAGCCGTTCACAGTCTTTGAACATGGACTCACACCCCAGCCATCCTAATCTATTTCCTTTGGGAAATATGAAAATAATCTGATGACCCTGACAAACCTCCACTGATCTCTGGTCAGAGTGCCAGTGACACTACTGTTGATGACTGCACCGTAGGAGCTGGGGAAAGTGTCCTTCAGGATGACAGGTCTACCCCATGCGGGCAGGGTCAGGCCGGGGGGGCTGACCCTGGGGAAGCATTCAGCAGGAAAGGCGTCGCGACCGGCTCAGGCTCCCTCTCGCCTCTTCTCTCCTGTCCCTGGTGCCGTGAGAGGTGGCGTCAGAGGCTGCAGCCGGGCCTCAGAACGGGTACTGCGACACGTATATCCGCAGCCGGATCACGGAGCTACCTCTGAAGTTGATGACGGTGTTGACGGTGATCATTTCCAAGTCCAGCTGCATCTCCCGGGGCCCTTTGATGGGGCGTGTCATCACCAGGGTGGCACTGATGGGGCCCGTTTGCTGCAGACAGAACCGAGGGCGCCAGTGAGGGAAAGGCAGGACCACTGCAGGTGTTTGACCCCAGAGCTATGGAGCGACACCTGAGGCGGTGAGGGGAGCAGGCCAGACACGGCCTCTACCACAAACACCAAAGCGGACGGTGCACTGACCTGGCCACAGCGGACTACTGCAGCTTTGATCAGACACCCCCCTTACAGTCAGACTGGCATCCCCGTGGTGCCACCCTTTCCCCCCACTCCCCTGTCCTGGATCCCATGCTCCACCTGCTCTTCCCACTAACCTTTCAGGTCCAACTGAAATGTCACTTCCTCAGAGGAGTCCTCCCTGATTTCTCCAAACTAACTTGGTCCCCCACAACCGTCTGCCATTGCACAGGGTGGAGAGGATTCAGCACCATGGGCACTACTTGCATGACCTACTTGGCAAAGTTCTAATGCCTACATCCCCACCAGACCTGGAGCTCCACGAGAGCAAGGACCAGGGTCAAGTTTTTCACCAAAGCATCTCCCCAGAGCCCAGCACGGTGCCTGGCACACAGCAGTAAGTGTCTGAATAGAAGAATGAAGAAGTGACCAGCCCTTCACTTCCCAGGGCCCCTCTCTGAAATGAGGGTTGGTCCTAGATCAGTGGTTTCCAAGGATACAGCTTGCAAAGCACCTGGAACAGAGTCTTTAAACCAATAGTCCCAGGGCCCACTCCCGGATTTTCTGCTTCCGTGGTTTTTCAGCTGCTGTCTGGGAAAGTGTTATTTCTTTACGTGACTCCAGGCGTACGGTCCCTGCAAGAGCCCCCGTGTGCACAGTGGCCACCTCAGCCTCGCCACTCTGTGACTCCATCACTGTGGTCCTAAAGCCTTCATTTTCTCCTCCACTGAATTGCGGGTCAATCTTTCGAGGCAGCGAGGAGCAGACACCGACACCCACAGAGCATCTCCTACACTCTCGCAGTCTCCATACAGTGCTGACGTAAACTGCGTAAAACCCCCGAAGGCTCTGCTCCTCACACTGTGACCCCTGGATCAGCAGCATCAGTATCACCAGGGCACATGTTAGAAATGCAGGACCCCAGGCAGCACCTAAGACCCACTGAGTCAGAATCTGCAGCTTAACAAAACCCCCAGGTGATCTGCAGGTACAGTAAGAATTAACAAGCTGATCTGAAAGCACAGGACTGTGGCCAGGAGCCTGCCCACCATCCATTCCAAGAGTATATAAATACTGATAGAAATATAAGGCAAGGGGCCCTCCTGGGTGGTGCAATGGTTAAAGCGCAACACTACGAAGCTGTCTGCAGACACTGCAACATGGGCTCGATCTCCGGCCAGGGAGCTGACCCACATGATGCAGCAGACCTCACCTGTCTCTCCTCTGCCCCTCTCAGCAGTGTATTTCAGTCGATCTGCCTGTTCAGCTCCTCACTCCGTCTCTGGTGAATCCTCTCACTGGCCCTGCACCTCTGCCCTATACCCCAGCTCTGTATGCATAAATAAATAAATCTTTCAAAAATAAGCAAAGCAAAGCCCAGGAAGGGTGATCACTGCCTAAGCAGTCACTCGGCTGGGCCGAGGCGAGCCCAAGGACTCCACTCCCGTGTTCCTGTGTGATCCCGATCCCACTGCACCGGCGTCAGAAGAGGCTGGTGTGTGCTTCACTTCTCCCTAGCACTGCTCTCGAGAAGAGATGGCTGCAGGTGAGTGCGATGGGCACCTGCTGAGGAACGAGCAGGAGGGGCTCCAATATGCTGGACAAGTTTCTTTCAAGCTGCAAAGTCCAGCACTGTGCCCACTTAAAGTCACATCATGTATTTTATCTGTCTCCATAAAGGGAGGGCCCCTCATAAATTGTGTATATCCCCAAGAGCTGCCACAGATATGTCAAGGGTGGGGCTATCATTGCCGGTCAGGTGCTGGGACCTCCCCTGTCCCCCCAGCTCACAGCAGCCTGAAAGCCATGCAACTTCCTCTTGGCGTCAGCTTCCTGTTTCCGTCAGCATCAGCTAACTGGCGCAGAGCATCGCCAGCACTTCCTTATCAACTCTTGCAAAACCCTGGAGCCTCAGCCAGGACTTGAGAGGCTCCCACCACATGGGGAAATGCCTCTAGCGTTTACAAATACAAATATGTCACCAGCTTTCACTGAATGAACAGAGGTGAAGGGTTGAGGACCCTGGGCTCTGGGGAGCCTCTGGAGGGAGATCTCCGGGGCCTGGGATGGGGAACCCAACTGTAAACTCCCACACTGTTCCTCTGGGCGTTCCTAGTAAGGTCTCTGGGGTGTGAGAAGAATCACCTTTTCTGTTCAGAAGTAACCTCAGAAGTGAGTGTGCTTGGCCCCCACCAGGACCAGACCTGCAGCTGGCATAGACAGGCCTGCCCCCCGAACCCGGGGGGACTCAAATGGCTGGCCGGACACTGAGGATAGTCACCCTCACTGTTGTGCAGGTGTCCAGGGCTGGGTGAGGGCTTGAATGAAATAAGACCGCTGGTGCCCACCCGTGGTGCAGGGGGTTGAAGCGAGCAGCAGCTGCTCTAGCACAAGTTCAATCCCCCACCAGGGGGGTGACTCACTCATGCTGAAGTGGCTTTAGCTTCTTAGTGCTGCTTTAACCTGCTGCACCACCAGGGAGGGCCCAGACAAATAAATCTTAAAAAAAAAAAGAGGACCTCCGTGGACTTGGGGGCCAGTGCAAAATGCTGCTGATGGCAATGACAGTGGTGGTGGTTACGGTCACAGGCTTTGAACAGCGACCTTGTAAACAGCTCTTATTAAATCTTCAGAAACAGGTTAAGGCACCGATGTCTGACCCCAGCACACATGCTCCCGACATTCTGCTCTACCAAGTCAGCACCTCCGGACCGTACACCACACACACTCAGCTTGAAACCACCGCTTCACGTTGGAAATGTTGCCCCGCTGTTTGTCCCCACCCGCCCTGCTGTTGTGTGGGTTCCCCAAGGGCAGAGGCCACATCCTGTTTGTCCCTGAATGCTCTGTCCTGACCTAGAGCCATGTCCACAGTGGTGCTGAACACTGGGGAGCACGTGGCTGGACGCTGGTGCAGCTGTGCACAGCAGGAAGAGGCTGCAAAGAGCCCCCATGGTGTGTCTCCTAACCATGCTCCCACACATGCTCAGGTTTGCTCTGAACCAGCTGTGAGGTGGCATTGTGTGACATGTGGCAAGCAGCCAGGCTCTAGCAAGTTACCTTCCCTCAGGCTGTCACCCGATCGGCGTGTGTCATGGAGTCGGTGTACTTTGGCACACTGCCCCCGGGGCTGTGGACCTTCCTCTCAGTGCTGGCACCCCTACGTCACCTGGCCAAGACCAATCCCCAGCCCTCTGCATGGGCTCAGTGTGGGGCGGACTGCCAACAGGGCTGGCAAAGGGACACGTGTGCACCTGAGTGTGATGTGCCCACACATGGGTGTGTTTGCTTCCCAGGTGAGGCGAAGCTCTCGAGCGCTTGTAACACAACCAGGGGGTGTCAGGCAGGGAGCGCCGGATTGACCACCAAGCCCAACCTCCACGATGCCCAGCCCCATGGGCAGCCCTACCAACCTCTCCAGGACCACGAGCCCACATGTCCCTAACAGAAGTAGCAGCAACAGCTGCTGCAGAAGCAACTGCCCGTGCAATGGTGACTCCCACTCACTGCACGGTACCGTGGGCTTTCTGTGCTGTCCAATTTCTGCTGAGGCCCCAGCGCTGGATGAGTAAGTGGAAACACTCCCACATGCTAGTGAGAATGAGCTGGACTGGCTGGGCTCAGATCCTGCTCTGGGGATCTCTGGCTGTGAGATCATGATCGTGGGCTTCCCTGTGCCTTGGGACCCAGCAAGGTGAAGCACCCCCCCCACTGTGGAGATGAGCGAAGTGGGGTATGGGGAGCAGCTGGCGCCAGGCGTGGCACACGCCGGGCACGGGGAGGATTTCTGTTGAGGCCGTGAGCCGTTACTGTGGCGTCACACGGGACCCACAAGTGACGGCCTGAGGATGCATCTCCCTCTGTCCCCGCCGCCGCCGGCCTGTAGGTGTGTGCCAACACACTGACCAGCCTCACAGCCGGCAGCAGGGCTTCAACAGAGCTGCTCGCGGCGGGGCACGCCCTGGCGTTTAAAGAAAGCAGAACATGGCACTACTGCACTCTTTTCTGGAGAAGTCAGGAGGGGAGCTCAGAGCAGCCTCCCTGTGTGACAAGTGGGAGCTGCAGGGGAACTGGGTGATGAAGCTGGAGGCCTAGTGGGGGAATCCCCACTGCCATGGGAAATCTATTTAGAACCTGGCACCAGAAATGCAGGGGGGCAGTGGGAGACCTCAACACCAGGGAGTCGTCAGCTGAGTTGACTACTCAGGGGAATATCCAAAGAACCCATCAAGTGCCCCATGAAAGAGGGGCACGTTTAAGTCTATGCCCCAGAGTGTGTACCCCAGCACCTGCTGAGAACAGCAAAGAGTAGGGTCTCTGCCCCCCCACACACACCACCCACCTTTCCTCTGCTACCATCTCCGCTCCTTCAACCTTGGAGGAGGAACTTGAGACGGCGTTCTCCTTGGGGGGGGGGCAAAGAAGATGGCACAGAACCCAACCAGCCCGCCCCACCTCTGAATGTGGGAGGGCTGACCCCTAGGTTGAATGAAAGGTGGGGGGATTGACGTTTCCACTTAAAGCAACCCAGACTTTTGATATGGAAAATAAGAAAAATTACTAGCCACTGAATATGCCTGTGAATATTATGGAATCAGCCTGAGACGTCAGCCAGGGGTCCTGAGGTGTGAGGGGGCAGAGTAAGAAAGAGCAAGTCACGGAATGTTCTGCCTGCAAATTCTGCAACTTTGATGATAATAGGCATTCTTGTTCCAGGAACTGCGCTAGTCCTCAGGCTCTGTTTCGCCCACTACAGCTGAGGCAGCTGAGGGTCAGTGGAGATGGTCGGCCCAGCTCCAGAGCCACGTCGGAATGACTGCGCGGCATCCTGCGGAGGGTGCTGCAGGCGGGCACAGCCCTGCCTGGTGCCCAGGGCCCGGGCATCACGGGGCCCCTACACCAAGTCTGGGCTGCAGCCCTGTGGCCCTTTAAGCCAGAAGCCCTCTCCCCACGCCTGCGTTCCATTAGCCATCCGCAGGTAACGCCTCCGTCCCCCCCACCTGGGTGTCCTGACCTCCTCCTCTGAATAAATACTAAAGAAACCAGGACCTTCTCAATGTTCTCAAAGAACAAGCTACGACTCAGCTTTGTGCGTTCAAGGGTCCCCTCTGTGCCGTGATAACCTGGGCATCAGGAGAAACTTCCAGAAGAGACGTCTCTCCTGTTCACTCCACCTGCAGGACAATCCTTTGCCCTCCATCTCTGGGTACCCTTGCGGTCAGCCTCATGGGGCACATCTGGGTCTAGGAGGGGTTTAGTTGGTGGCCCATGGTGTGACATCTTGCCTAGACAAATCTTCCATCTTCCATTCCATTCTGCTGGGGGGGGGGGAGACAGAGGCAGGTGATCGAGTGATGGTAATTCTAGTCTCCAAGAGAGACCTCTTTGTGCCCTTGAGTGGGACTCGCTGTGTCTGTACAGGTGATGATAGAGGCCAGACTGGAGAGGCCCAGCAGGCTAAATTTATGCTTCTAGGGCAGCAGCCCACAGCTGCTCACAGACTGGGGTTTCTGCTGGGCAGCTGTTACTGTGCATATGGGGAGAAGACAGACCTCAACACAGGTTCCTCTTTTTGACATGCTGCAGTTTCTCTTCTCCCTCTCCCCTCCACGCATTCCACCTTCTTCCCAAACCCTTGCCCCTGCTACGCTGCTCTACAGAAGCTGCTCATGGGTGATGTTTTCATGTGCCCTGGTCCCTTTAAGGTCTTGCCAAAAACTTGTTAATGAGGACATGGGCACATTACCAGACCCTTGGGCCATTTCTAATCTGCTCTAACCACCACTTCTCAGACCTCCCAGTGCACAGACAGTCCCAGCCCCAGAGGCAAAGACTGGAAGCTTCTATCAGGGATAGTGTGACCCCATCCTTCACAGGCACTGGGGCATCTCCCACAAAAGGCTGAGCTCCAGGGACCTATGCTTCTGAGTACAGCTCCCCAGAGGGACCCTGTGGTGGGAGCACAGGCTGTAACTGAGCTGCAACACTCAGATCCTTGGGTATGAGAGGCCAGACAAAGACCCCAAAGACATCGAACTGAATCCCTAGAACCCATAAAGGTTAATTTATAAGGAAAAGGGAGTTTTGCAGGTGCTCATAGGCTAAGATCATGACTTAGGAGATGACTCTGAATCACATGGCTGTGCTCTAAATCCAGTCGCAAGTGTTGCTTGAAAGACAGAGGCCATTTGAAAGACACAGAAGAGATGGCGGCAGATTGGAGTGATGTGGCCTTAAGTCAAGAAATGCTGGCAGCCATAAGATGCTGGGACAGGGACGGACTCTCCAGAGGGACACGGCGCTGCCAGCACCTTGATTGTAATCCAGTGAAAATGATTTCAGATTTTTGGCTCCCAGAACTGAGCAGAAAAGTGTCTGTTGTCTTAAGCCACCAAATTTGTGATAATCTGTTACAGTGGTTGCAGAAAACTGAGACGTGTCATCTGCTGTAATAGATTCTCTAGAGAGGAAGCTCTGGGGTCCTCTGGCCAAGTGCCCAAATTCACACTGAGATGTGAAAAACATCTCTCTAAGCCAGCGGTCTCTAAAGAAGTATGGACACCCCAGAGGGTGGAGGAGATGGAGCTCAATGCTATAAACAACATTACAAGGATGCAATCAACAGAGGCAAACATGTCTTGGGATGTGTGCTCTGAAATTGTTTACTGTTAGGGATGTCAGTGCTGTCCAGTCTGACTCCCCACACAGAAATGCCCTCTAGCTGAGCTACTACAGCAGCCACATCAGCTACTGAGCATGTGGAATGTGGCTAGCACCACGGAAGAGCCCAGCTTTTAAGGGCACTTTGTTTAAATTCGTTTAACAATGCCCATGAGTCAGCTAGAGTGTATTTCTGTGGCTGGAACATCAGCCTTCACGCTCCTGCGGTGTGAATGGCATGAGGTGGGGATGTGGGTGTTTTTGTCACTGCTAAAGCTTCAGTTTCTAGTGGCTACTTGATAAGTATTTGTGAAGTGAGTGGGTGGACAGATGCTTGTGTGAATGCCTCCCCCACGGAACCAGAACCGCAGGAGGAATGAAGGAGATCTCAGGCTGCACTTAGCCTAACTTCACCCTGGGGCTCTCGGGGGCATTCCCGAGAGTGATAGGACCAGACTCCCAGCCACTCCCCTCTTCTCTCTTCATACCTGACTGTCCTCACGGCACTCAGACCTGTTGCAAGAAGCACGTGCCCAGCTAGATGCCACCAGGTGTGGTTAAGATGGTGCCCGCCCCTTGCACCCCCTTACCCGCATATAGAACTCTCGGCCCTCATTCCCAGACTTGATCTGGAAAATGTAATAAGCTCCGGGGTAGCGGGTCGTCGCTTGCATCTGGAAGATGTCAGCAGGAACAGAGCGTGCGGACACCACGTCCATGTCCCGGTACAGGATGGTGAAGGGCTGGTCTCTGCAGCCAGGATTCTCAGCAGGACACATACAGCGGCTACAGGGAAGGGAAATTTGTGGGGGCTGAGAAAACCCTTTCCAGATGCTGGCTGTGCCTACTTCCTCACTTGAAACGCTGGAAAGGAAGCCAGGCCACTGCAGCCTCCCCCTGCTGTAACCGGAGAGACCCCCTCCACTCCTGCTCTCCTCTCTGAATGAATGCTCCAGCATGTAGGTAGCCCGCTTTGCCTAGAGAATGACCTCTCTGGCCAAGCAGACACTGGCTGCCCAGATGTGTACCTCCAATGTCAGGGTTCAGAACACTGGGACAGTGTCTAATGTAGTTAACCTTGTATGTCCCCATGTCACTACTTGTACCCTCTTGCCAAATGAGCCCACTGGTCCCCAGAGTGCTCACCTCTCCGCCAGCACGCTAACTGAGAAATCACGTTAGGTTGGCAGGTCTAGAGACGTCCTTTGACTTTCTCTTTTGCACCAAGTCGAATGTGCGTGGAGCATGATTTAATCTTTCCATTTGATAAACAAGAGTTTAGAAATCACTATACGTAAGGAACACAGTGGTAAGACTCTGACCTTGAATGGCTCAGCTGCTAACAGGAGAAATAATCCATACACACACTATGTCTAATGCAAAGCAGCCAGTTAGAAACACTGGCATTATCAGAAGCCTTCACTCTGATTACCAAGGAATACTGGCTATGGAGGCCCCTTCCTTTATCCTTAGCTACCCCATCTGTCATCTCGCTCCAAACACTCCCCCGGAGTGTGCTCAGAGTTCACAACAGATCAACTCAGTGGCCAGAAATGGAATCAGCCTTGTGTTTATGTCACTCTGTCCTAACTTCCCATCTTTCTTCAAAATCTATTCATCTACTTCCAAAATATAAACCCAAATCCATCCCCTTCTCAACATCTCCACTGTCACCACAAGTCCCTGAGGCCCACCTGGACCTGTCTCTCCCCTCCCCTCTACTGCGTGGCAGCCAGAATGTCAAACACACGTCAGGTTACATCTCTATTTTGCTTCCAGACACCTGAACAGAAACCACACCCTCAGCCTAGCTCCTGACCCCCCATGGGCCTGGCCTCTGCCAGTCTCTCTACCTCCTCCCAGGTCACTCTGCCCACACCTCACTGCAGGGCAGCAACTCAGGCTCCTGACGGTCCCTGAGGACATCAAAGTGACTCCCCTGCGAGCCTTTGCACATGCTGTTTCCCTGCTCTTCCACCCTCTCCTCGGTTAATGCTGACATCTGTCCATTCCAGCCCGTTGCCTTTCCCCAGAGGGATTTTCAGCCTCCCTAGTCTAGTCCAGGTCAAGGCTACTCTTTCTTTTATGAATGTCTGCTCTATCCAGAGCCCCTGCCACAACCTGTGCTGGGTACTCACTTAGGTGTCCATTTGTTTAATGTCTTTCTCCACTCGCAGAAGAACAAAACCACAGCACAGTGTCTGGTACATAGCAGGAGCCCAAATAACACTTAATAAAGATTGCGTAAAAACAACGTTTAAAGTTTCGTTTTCTGAGGCTGCATCCCAACAGCATGTCAGAATGTCCGTGGTGCCAAAATGGCCACATTAAAATGTCACATGTCACAGAGACTGTTTCCTAGTGAAGTCTGGAGGAGGAGTGATGGCGCCAGCTGAAGAGGACCACGAGCCGCCGGGAGAGGTGGCTGGGGCTGGCCTGGCCCTGTGGGCTCCTGAACCAGGCAGTGAGCCTGAAGGGGTGAGGGGAGCTGGGGGGTGGGGCCTGGAGGCAGGGAGTCACCCAGTGTGTGCAGCCGCCAGCTGGGAGCCTGAGTGGCTGCACCACCTCAGTGCTGGTAACTGAACCCGGAGAGCGCCCCCACCACAGACAAGGGTGCCTGGACACCCCAGCGAGATCCAGGGCGGAAGCTGAGCGCTCTTGGCAGTGAGCAGTGACCTCTCGAAGTGACCAGCAGGCCCTGTTTGGCCAGTTTTTGCTCAGAGAGGAAAAACCTGCTGAGCCACAGATTCCAGTCAGGTGCTGCATTCCCAGGGCACAGGACAGGTGCGTGGCATTCAACCTGCCGCCTGGCCTGTGGCGCTAGGGTTTGGCTCCGTTCTGTGGGAACAAAGGTACGACGGGCGGGTGTGGGGGAGAGGGAGATGTGTGTGTGTGTGTTGTGTGAGCTCCTGGCAGGAATCACGGCCTCACACCGTGCACTCTCCTTCCAACACCCTGGCCGTCAGAAGCAGCCCCTCACCCTCGTCCACAGCCGTGACTCACTTGTCGCTGATGCGCAGATAAGGCTCCTCGCAGCGGATGGGGTCGATGCATTTGAAGCCCCCTTGCAAGTTGTAGCAAGTCTGCTGTAGGTTGCACGTGTGGTTTCTGTGCTCGCACTCATCGATGTCTGAAATGCACGACAGTCAGGACGGCTGGTTCAGGGCCGCGATCCCAAGCAGGTGGCCCCAAGCCAGGGCCATGGCAGGAGTGAGCTACCCGGGTCTTTCTACAGAGCTGCGCTGACGAAGTGGCAGCCGTGGGCCACTCGTGGCTACTGAGCACCTGAAATGTGGCGTGTTGGGATGTGGCCAAACTGAGATGTGCGAGTGGGGAACATAGGCCTGACTTCAACGGCTTGGTGTAAGAGGAGACCAGCTCATCGGTCGTTTTATGTGGAGAACATGCTGGAACGACGGCACTGTCATCGCATTCAACGCAACATGTTCTTGAAGCATTTTACCTATTTCTTTTTATCCTTTTAATATTTCTATAGAAAATTCACATTCTATTTCCACTGCCTAGCACTCTGGGGAATTCTTGCCTGAAGTTGGGGTAAGGCAGGTTTACGCTCTAAAAATGGAACCGATGCTTAGCCACCAATCTTCCCACACTGACCCTGTGGGTGAAGCATGGGGTTGGAAATGAGGCCAAGTGGCCAAGAAGGACAAGACCCATGGTGGGGCTCTTCCTGAACCTGCCAGGGACAAGCAGTCTGATGTGTGATGTCTCAAGTTGCCCAGGCTCCCTCCGAGGCCCCTGGTCCATGGGCGGTGCAGCCCACAGAAGTTGTATCTGGGGCCACCGTGACCTGTCTGCGAGGCAGGACCAGCCCTCAGAGGCTCCCACTTGCACCTGTGGTGTTCATGACCGAAGTGAGCGTAGCCACGTCATCTCTAGGGCCAGGGGATGGAAGGCAGGGCAGGAAGCACCAGCCTGGGTATCTGCCCAGAGTCTGCCTCTCTGGAAGCCAGCAGCACTCTTACCTCGCACCCTCCCAAAGCCACACAGGATTCCCTGGGTGAAGGCATCCACGGACCCCCTGAGCCAACCCCACCACGCACCCCCCCTTGCCAGGCCTCTGGACCGCCTTACCCTGACAGCTTCGGTTGTCCTCCAGCAGGATGTAGCCAGGAGGACAGGAGCAGAAGTACGTGCCAGGCTGGTTCACACACTCGTGCTGGCAGAGGAACTCAGAGAAGCTGCACTCGTCCATATCTGGGGGCAACAAGTTACACCTGCTGTTTATAGTCCTGAGCCAGCTGGGAAGGTGAGACGAGAGATGGTCTGTTCCCACACCCACATTAACCCCCTAACACACAGGATGGCCTTCTTGCCGGTTCCCTTCTTGAATGCTTCTGAGGATGGGGCGCTCACTACCTACGACGGACGCCCATGGATATGTGAACAGTTCTAATTGCTAGAAAATTCTTTCCTACCTGGAGCTGAAATATGTCTCTGTTGAACTTCTATCCCTTTGCCTCTGGCTTACTTACATCATTTACTGACTCATTCTGCTCTGTGAGTGGATCCATCCTCCACCTGTGGCCATGAGATCTGTTTACCTCCTGGAGCTTTCTGTATGCAGAGTTCTTCCCCAACACCCCAAAAAGCATTCACTGGCCTCTATTTCAAATGGGCAACTTTAGCAGTGCCACGAAGCTGAGAAGTAACCCTAAAAGCACAGGAAAAGGCACATCTACCATAAGCCAGGGGTGTCAGCTGTACTTACTAGTCCTTCATGGCATCCAAAATCTCTGTGAAAGAGAAAACTCAGGAGAGGTATGTGCAGACGCACATGGTCCCTCTATGGGGCATGGGAGCCCACGCTGGGTCACGACTCCCCTGTGGAGGTGAGGCTGTGAGGGCGCAGGGGTATACTGAGCACACAGGCTGTGGCAGCTGATGCAGAAGCAGCAGTTTCAGAAAAGCCAACTCCGTGTCACACACAGAGTTTGGCAAGGGGCCCCTGTTTGCGCCTCATTCAGCAAGCTTGCCAAAGAAAACATGTTTTTCTTTCATTTGTTGTTTCCAGAAAACTTGCTCTCACTAGTTTTCCCATGTGACATGTCCTCGGATTACTCTCTAACTTGCACTTTGCACTCCCCTGGTGGCTGGGATCACCCAGGAAGGGTGTCGTGACACTTCTCCATGGGATCAGCCCTGCTGCTACTGGGTATCACGTGCCCGGCGCCTCTCACATCTGAGAAGGAGAAACTCCTCCCCACCCCGCCTGGGGGTCTTCGGGTGATGGCGTGGGAGCCTGCAGAGCCAGGGTGCTGCAGTGAAAAGTAACAGCACGCTCAGTTCAGTAAGACCTGCCGCTGGCGTGTCTCTACGCCCACTCCCCGGGTACCTGGTGGTGCCCCAGATCTCTGCCCAGCCTCTCCTAAAAGAGTGTCCCTGTTTATTCCTATTTAGTGTGTAGATTCTGTTCAGACCTGTGTAGCAGAAGCAGCAGAAGCACACGTCAGCTCCTGCGAGGCGCTATATACCAGGCAAAGGACCCACTGCTTTCACCTGCCTCATCTTTTTTTTTAATGCATACAAGAACTGGGGCGTATGCGGGGGCTGAGAGGATTCACTAGCGACAGAGTGGGGAGCAGAGCAGGCTGACTGGCAGAAACACACTGCTGAGGGAGCAGTGGGGAGGCAGGAGAGGTCTGCTGTGCCTGTGGGTCACTCCCTGGCTGGGGATTGAACTTGTGCTGCAGTGGCTGCAGATAGCTTGACAGTGCTGAGACTTAACTCTTTGCACCACCAGGAAGGCCCTACCTGCCTCATGTTATTTAAGCCTCACCTACGCAGGTGCAATTACTTTGCACATTTTCTGGAGGAAAAAAATAGAAGCTTACAGGTGAGGGAGCTTGCTGAAGTTCAGAGAACAAGTAAGCTGGAAACCTGACACGTGAATGAACCTAAGCAGCCATTGTCCAGTCCTAAGAGAAGATCTCCCTGAGAAATCATGCTGGAGTTAGCATAGTGGGCTTGGGAGAATCCCTGGGGACGGATTAGCTCCACTGCAGATAAAGAGGGCAGCGCCCTCTTCTACCTCCCGCTGGACAGAGAGCGCCCCTGATCCACACAGCTTATCTGAGGGTCACAAGCCCCAGGGACTGCTGGAGCTCTGGCTCCATCCATTAGTAGCAAAGACCTGACAGACAAGCCCAGCTCCTGTCAGGGAGCACACCGAGCCATGTGCACCAGTGAGAACCTGCCTGGTTTCCAGGATCAGCTCAGATTAGCAGCTCCCCGAGGACAAGAACCAGGGTCTGGTGCTGCTTGGAGGGGTCACACCAGGCTTAATGACACCGTGAGGGTAGAGATCCTGGGGCCAAGGAGCAGCAGAGAAAGCGGCGAGAAGGGAGGAACAGAAAGACAGCAAACAGGCTCTCTCTGTGTCCACCACTGTCCTGGGCCAGCCCAAAGGCCCGAAGCAGCTAAGCAGGAAAAAGTGGACACCGCGTGATGGTGGAGGAGAAGCTGACCACGTGGGATAAAGAGTCAACTGCAAATCCTTGCCAAACTGTGGAGGATGTGAACTTGAAAAAATAAAAGTGTCTAAAATTCACACTTAGGTAAAGGAAATGAAGACACAACGCCACTTACTGGCATGAGCCAGTCTCGCCTGTGGCCACACCAAGAAGCGCTAAAACTGGGCCAGAGCGGGAATTCCGTTCTGACTTCAGACCGTCTCCACTGCACCGCCCAGCAGATGGTCAATAAATACATAGGGGTGTGCTGGGAATCCTGGGAATATTACTAACTCCTAGCTCCTTGGCCTGGATCCCCTGAGGAGTGCCATGGGAGAGCCCGGGGACTGAATCTAGGAATAAAGGGGCTTTTCAGGCCCAAGGGTATCTTAGGATGGTTTGTGGGACCGACATTTAATCTGCCAAGGCTGTCTGCAGCCGCCCACGGAGGCACGGGTGTCCCTGCCCTGGGGAGACCGGCTGGTGCTTCTCTGTTTCAAAGCTCTTTCCCTGGAGCAGTCAGAAGTGAAGCTATCACACAAGTCTCACTCATGGCCTGAGTGTCAATTCCTGTTACAGTGACCCCAGGATTAGGAAACTTTCCACTCTGCAGAACACAGCCCGGTGGAGGAACCACTGATTGAAAAATACAGGGAGTCTCATTCATTCAGGCCACGCTAATGTATGATGGCTGAGGATATCAAAAGTGGATGGGATGCGTTTAGTTTAATTCAACGTTAACTAAAAAATAAGGAAAAAAAGAAAAGAAGACTCAGTGCAGGATGCTACAGGAATAAGTAAGAGTAAAATGCTGGGCCGGGGAAAGGGCTTTATGAGTGTCTACACCTTTCTAAGAGAAAAACATGAGGTGTGCACAGGTTAGTGTGGACAGTATGTTCCCGGCCAGGGAGGGACCTAAAAAGGCCACCTAAGTCACCACAGCTATGTTGTCACAGCAAGTAACTGAGATTTCACTCATCCATATTAAGTCATTCACTCATCGATTCAGGAACTATTGATTGCATGCTCACGAGGGACCAAGGCCCTGACTGAAGAGACTGCAGAGGTTCACAAGGTGTGTCTGCTCATGTACATGGCTGCTTTCACTCAGCCCGGCCCGCCAGTGTGCTATGCTCATGGGGTTCAGCCCTCCAGAAGCACCATCACGCTATGCCCAGGACTTCAGTCAGTGCCAGGCAAGGGCAAGCAACTCAAACCAACGTGCAGACTAGGTGACGCCTTCCATCTCCCACATCACCTGACACCCTAGCAGGTGGTGTTAAGGGGCAGGATGTCCTAAAGGAACTCTGCAGAATCTTGTGGACTCTACCCACTGCTTCAGCTTTCTGTACTCCGCCCCCTGCTCCAGTGATTGGAAACTACAAATCCCAGCAGTACCAGAGAGAGAAATGTGAGGACCCAAGGGCGGAGCTAAGCAGGCATGCTGGGAATTGAGGGATAAATAGGGTGCCATTTCCTATGGCCCTCTCGCTTGGGCAATGGCTCACAGGACCATGTGACTGGGAGCTATCAGTTAGTTTGTTACTGGAGCACCAAGTAGGTACAAATTTGTTACCAGAGCAAGCCAGTAATATATCCTAGTTACCTTGTATCTCTCTCTCTCTTTCCCTGGGTTGTTCCTTTTCCTTTCCCCTTTTATAAATAAAACCATTATTAACTCTTTTGTGTGTGCTGCAGCACAACTGATTTTTAAATGCGTGGTGAGGCCCCACAGACAGGCGGCCAAGTTCACACTGGGGTGCCCTGTAACAGTAACAGAGGTCAAATGCCAAGGGAAGGGACTCCTCTTTCAGAAAGTGACTCATCTCTGTTTTGTGGGGTTGTGACCCCAGTGTACTGGGAAACATCCCAAACTAGAGTCTGGGAAATGAGAGGAAACACCTGGGATGCTGCCCTGTCCTCCGCCCCCCACCTCTGTCCACCCAACACCTAACAGAGTCCATTACCACTGCAACGAACACCATCATCCTCAAGTTCATATCCTGGGTCACAGCGGCAGATGAAAGAGCCGTAGGTGTTGACACAGGTCTGCACGCAGGGGTTCTCAGTGGCACATTCGTTCACATCTGTGAAAACCCAAAGTATATCACAGATCATTGCCAAAACAAAGCATCCCCACGAAGCAGAAGACTGCACCAGCAATGACACGAACCACCACTAGGTAACCAGAATCAGGGGACCAAGGATCTCCACCCACAGTCTGTGGGATTAAGAGCTCGAACTTGTGTTCCCTGAAGAACTAGACTCCATTTCCATTTCCCTTCTTGGGTTGCAAATTGGGAAGGGTGGAAATAATGTGTCTCCCCCCTGTAGACAGGTGTAGATACAGACACACCCCCAGACTCAACGGGGCAAGTTTTAGACTACAGCTGCCTCCCATCACCTATTGAGTTCATGAAACCACGTGGCAGTGAGCCACTGCCTTGCACATGTCAGGTAGACAGATCATGACAATTCTGGTAATAATTCTACATTTTACTCCAATGACTGAATTGGGAGCACCGCACACAAAAAAGAAAACTCATATGTTGACAACCTCAACCCATTGGTGATGATATTTGGAGATAAACCTTTAGGAAGTAGTTAAGTGAGTAATTAGGTAAGTAAGTCATTAAGTTAAATAAGGGTGGGGCCCTGTGATAGGATTAGTGCCCATTTAAGCAGAGACACCAGAGAGCTGATTGTTCTCCTTCCACTATGTGAAGACAAGGTGAAAAGGCAGCCACCTGCACACCAGCCATCCTCAGAAGCCCCTGAGTAGGCTGGCACCTTGATCTTGGAGCCCTGCCTCAGGCGCCAAGAGAAAAAATCCTGATGCTTAAGTCACCCAGTCTGTGGCACTTTGTCAAGGCCTCTGAAGCAAAGATAATTCTGCATGAACCACGTCACTGACACCATAGGCACTGGCCCCCTGCACAGGCTTAGGAGGTGAAGGAGTGAACCACAGATGTGCGTGGGAGGCTTTCGGGAATGATGGAATATTCACTCTGGAGTGTGGGAATGGCTTCACACATTTGTCTGAGTTCATGAAGCCACGTGGCACACGTTTGTCTGAGTTCATGAAGCCACGTGGCACACGTTTGTCTGAGTTCATGAAACCACGTGGCACACGTTTGTCTGAGTTCATGAAGCCACATGGCACACGTTTGCCTGAGTTCATGAAGCCACGTGGCACATGTTTGTATGAGTTCATGAAACCACGTAGCACACGTTTGTCTGAGTTCATGAAGCCACGTGGCACATGTTTGCCTGAGTTCATGAAGCCACGTGCCTTCAATTGTGCCATTCATTCCATATCCATAAAACACCAAGGAAGAAGAGACACGTGCCCAAGTCCCAAAGCCACCCAAGGTACCGTGGGAACTGGGCCATGAGTCAAAGTCTGTCTACAACACCCAACTTAATTCCACGCAGCTCGCGGGAGTTCAGGGTGGGGCCAGGAAGAAATCCACCTCCACATGGCACTGGTTGAGCCCTTTAGAGCTGCCCCACCCTCCCAGGCTCCAGATGGCAAAGTTCTACTGAGAGGATTCCTAACCCCTAAAAGTCCAGATAATCTGCTTAAGCCTCTGAAAGAGATGTGGGTGGTTAAAACCTTAAAAGCCTTTACAGTAAGCAGCTTGAGTTTTCCTTAAAGGAGAGGGCTGACCTCAGGCCCCAACAGGTCCTGGCCCCTCACATCTCAGAAGCTTTCAGAAGGAAGAAACAATGGCTATGCAGGGAGGTCTGTGGAGAGACGCTGGGGGCCCTCGCTGGGGACCCTGGCTGCATGTGGGCTTCCCTCTGGGGACGCCAGGAGAACGCCAAGGGGCCAGGCCACTGAGTGCAAGCTCAGGCGGGGAGAGTGTTAGTCTTAGGCTGGCGTCCTCAGCTTCCCGCCAGTAGCTGAGAAGCTGGCCACAGGATGAATGAGCTTACGTCCAGCCCTCCCCATTCTCGGCTGTTTCTACGGAGCAGCAGGATCCAGAGGACTCTGACCCTGGGGCTGGAGCTGCGCTTCCTGGCCAGCCCTGGGCCCGGCAGCCCCTGCCCTCTGCAACCCGTGGGCGCACGCGGACTTGCTGGACAGGAAATCTGGACGCTCGTTTCTACCCTGCACTGGCCACCACCTGACTGCGTGGCTTCGGCCAAGTTGCTTAACCTTTGTGAGACTGAGTTCCTCATCTGGGAAGCGGGGCCACGCCTGCCTCCTAAGCCACAGCCGGGGTTCCATGAGCTTAACAGATGTGTGGTGCTCCGAGGATATGAAGTGCTCTTCCACGAATGATCTGTCAGGTCACAAAGCACCATAGAATCGGTGACACTTATGCTGCCTGTGGGCCCAGCTGACGCAATATCCCAGTGGCCCAGTGCCTGCGGCAGGCGTGGTGTTGGCTGCTGCTTTATCTGGAATTGGCACTGCCCGGCCTGGCCCTGAGAGGTCTGAAGGACGCAGCGGTCTTTCGGGCCTGCTGCTCGAGGCCACTCCTCAGGAGGCAGTGGGCGCACCAGGGGCTTGCACCGCCGAATCCCAGCCTCAGAGAAGCCTGGATCCACCCCAAGCAGCTTATCTCAGCAGCAAGGGGGCCAGGCGCCCGCTCCCAGCTCCAGGGGGAAGGAAGGGCCCCTGCTCACTCTTAGGAAAATGACCTCTCCTGGCCAGGGGAGCTCGGTTGAGACTTCTTGGAACAATCAGTAGAGGAGTCTTACAAAGAATCCAGGATCAAGCTCTTTAACGCTGATGCCTTCCTGTTTACCCAATGATTTCGATATGATTAAACTAATGGAGACATAATATCCTCCAACGAGCCAGCCAAGAGGCTGCCAGCCAGACCTCAGATGGTGTGACAAGGAAATGGGCCCTACAAAACCGGGTGGCGGGCTCCAGACAAAGACCTCATTCTGAGCCCCGCCACTGCCTCCACCCTGGGCGGAGCAGCTGCCAGGGACTGGAGGCCCCAGCGGGGTCTGCGGGCCGGGAGCCAGGGGCCGGGCGGGACTTGCACTAATTCCTCGGGTCTTAAGTCCCCCTTTCACTTCCTGAGCAGAAGAAACCTCCAGATGGAAACAGCACAGAGACGCAGCCTGCTTTTCTGGCTTATCAGTCCTGAGTGCTCGTGCGGCTAGCACAGAAGGCCACTGCTTGCCAGGGTGGGGGTGGGACACTGAGTGGCAGCTGACTCTGCTCCGTCGCAGGGCTCCTGGCACAGGTGGGACGTCACAACTGCCCACGAGACCCTGGCCTCGAGGAGGGGCTATTTCACAACTCACCAAGGGCCAGAGCCCTCTCTGATGCCTCTCTTTGGGCCTCAGGAATTAAACTGAGGCTACATGTGAAGCAATTTCTGATGAGCAGAAGAGTCGCCAAGGCAAATCCATGAGACCACAAGACCCAGCAGCCGATGTCCGTGGGTCCGCTCTCAGCAGCACCACTGGCATGTGTCACACCCCTCTGCTCTCAGGGGGTGGGGGGGCGGGCAGGGGCCACGAGTGGGAATACCCTGGAACAGCAGCCCCTCCCGCCAACGTACAGGGTCAGACTCCGAAGGTGACAGCTGGCGTCTTCTGTTGTGGTCGAGTTCTCATCCACACCACCTACCTTGGCAAGACCTTCCATCCTCGTTGAGGGTAAAGCCAGGGTTGCATGTACAGGAATAGGATCCGGGGACGTTCGCACATAGCTGCTGGCAGTATCCATAGCGACATTCATCAATGTCTGGGAACAGAGACACCGGCAATGTAAGTTCCTCTCGCTCGCCGAGGCTGCCGCCCATCCCCAGACTCCCACCAGCATCACCCAGTCTCTGCCATGGGATGGCACAGACACACACAGGAAACTAAGGCTAAGGCCGTACAGCGAGTCCTCGGTAATATCCAGCTGCAATGAAGCCAAGTCTGTGAATAATGTCGTTTTTGTTCAGAGTTAGCCAGGAGTCTTTCTTATCAACATTACAAGGAAACGGCCCTAAGTGACGTTATTCGAGGATCTACTACACCTACTAAGTGTCAGGGAGGGTGACAGCCTCTGGACCCCAAGGCTCGGTCTCCCTATAGTCAGTCATCCCCACACATGCCAGTCCTACGAACACCTCAACCTGCCTTGAAAGTTGCAGAGAGATTTCCACTTCGAGTGGAAAGGTGGACAAGATGCCCTCCAAGATTTCAGTCAAGGCTAAAATTTATCCAACGCTTAAGCATCGAGGATGGTGTTACACGGCCCTGAGATGGGACAAGTTCACTGAAAATGTAAGAGGAGTTCATGGTCCACTGGGCTGCTGGCCAACCCTGGCAACATGGACCACTGTCAGACAGAGCACGCACAGACCAGGGTGTCTGGGCAGTGCATGGAGGCCTGTGGGTCCAGTGACACAAGGGCTTGGAAGTTTGCCTCAGATCCCTCCTTGCCCAGTGGTCTGGATGCACACACCTCTTCCAAGCCTTTCCAGAGCAAGCTTCAGCTTTGTGGGTGAACGGGTGGAGAGCCCTGATTGCACTAGTCAGCAGGGAGCCTGCTATCACTGTAACATGCACTGGTCAGCAGGGAGCCTGCTATCACTGGAAGGCACTTCCCTGCACCCAACAGGGTAAGGAGTTCCCTCCCGTGGGAGCAGATGTCTGAATGAAGCCTGCTGGGAACAGGTGATCTGCCTATAGCTGGAACTGGTCCTCATCCCAGTTCCACCTCCCCTAAACTAGCCACATCCCATACCAGGTACCCCTGCTCCTTTGAAACTAGGGTCCATCCATACTCTGGAGTCCAGCTTCAAAATCTGTCTCTGCATGGAGTACCTACCACCCACGGCCAGCAAGGGCCCCACCGCCACTTCACCCAATGTTCAGTCCCCACCCCCAGGCTGTGCACGGCCTTGTGACCCTATTTTATGTCTGAGGCTCAGCTACTTCCCTCCTGGCCCACCCCACTGGCTGCCCTCTCTCCAGGGAGTGGGAGAGGAGAAAGAGGGCACCGCTGTGCAGGGGTACCTTGGAGTAAAGGCAACCCCCGGGGGCCCTGATTTTTTTTGCAAAAGGAACCTTTCCAAAGGCGCACAGTGGGAGTGGTAGATGCCGATGGAACTTGCGTTTTGAAGGAGAAAGAAGACTTTGGCCAGAGGGTGGCAGAGGTTTGCTGTGATTGGGAAAGGTCTTCCTTTAGGGTGAGAAGGGAGGAGTGAGCCACAGGGAGCCTCCGACCCAAAGCCCCACCCAAAGCATCACACCTATGGGAGTCAACACCCCACCCTCTCCCCAGCAGAGAAAGGTCCCTTCTGACAGGGAAGGGGGTTTCAGGGAGGGGGGTGCTCTCCCACAGAGCCTGAGAGTTCCCCTCACCTGATCCTCTCTAGCACCCCCTCTCTAGCACCTCCTGGAGGAAAAACTGGACTGGGACCCAGTAGACAGATACTGGATTCCAAAGCCCTCTTGGTCCAAAATGTTCCTCCTCTTTGGGTCTCAGTTTCTAGCTCTATAAAAGCTGGATGACATAATATCTAACATCCCTTCCAGCTCAAAATTCTACATATTAAGTTCCCGTACAAATAACTGCCTCACACTGACCTGCTTATGTTCAAATCAGTGGCCTCACATTTTCCATAATAGCTGAGGTTGGTTCAAACGCACAGGAACGTCATGGCCACAGAGGCATGTGAGCAGCCAGCTCTCTGGTGCACGCCTGGGAAGGAGACCCAAGCCAAGCCCCGCTGGCTTATCAGGCCTGGAGAATACTGCAGACAGGGCTCACAGCTGACTTAGACTCGGTCCCAATCAAGAGAGACTTGGAAAAAAGAGCCTTTTTTGTTGTTTGGATTTGTTTCTCAGTTCCTCCCAGACTGACTTTCAAGCAACAGAATAGTGTCTTCGAGAAGTTAAACTGGCAGGGCTTTTCCAAGAAAACCCAGCATAGAAATCACACCTTGGAAACAGAAATTGAAGTGACAGCTAGAGATTGCTATGAATTCATTCACTTGGCTAACCCGAAAACTAGAGGGGAAGAAAGGGAAATAGCCCTCCAGAAAAAACAAACAGAAGATCATATCACCAATGCCAACTGCCAGGGACAAAATTCTCAATTGGCTCTGACTGACTCCTTAGGAGGAAAGAAACCACAGCTGGGGTGCCGGGGGGGGCGG